TTGGCGCTTAGAGGCTTAGAGGCTTATGCGCTTTTGCCCAGTCTCTCTGCGCTTAGAGGCTTAGGCGCTTAGAGGCTTAGAGGCTTATGCGGTCTTGCCCAGTCTCTTTGCGCTTAGAGGCTTAGGCGCTTAGAGGCTTAGAGGCTTATGCGCTTTTGCCCAGTCTCTTTGCGTTTAGAGGCTTAGGCGCAGGCTTAGAGGCTTATGCGCTTTTGCCCAGTCTCTTTCGCTTAGAGGCTTAGGCGCTTAGGCGCTTAGAGGCTTATGCGCTTTTGCCCAGTCTCTTTGCGCTTGGAGGCTTAGGCGCTTAGAGGCTTAGAGGCTTAGAGGCTTATGCGCTTTTGCCCAATCTCTTTGCGTTTAGAGGCTTAGGCGCTTAGAGGCTTAGAGGCTTATGCGCTTTTGCCCAGTCTCTTTCGCTTAGAGGCTTAGGCGCTTAGGCGCTTAGAGGCTTATGCGCTTTTGCCCAGTCTCTTTGCGCTTAGAGGCTTAGGCGCTTAGAGGCTTATGCGCTTTTGCCCAGTCTCTTTGCGTTTAGAGGCTTAGGCGCTTAGAGGCTTAGAGGCTTGCGTGGTTTCTCTGAACCCCTTCTCCTACTGCAATGTGTCATCATACCACATCAATCAATATCAGGGATGAGTGATAATTATGCCACATTGTACCACCCATGAGAATATTTCTCAGATGGTCTCAGTACACAATCAATGCATGTGCTCACGGTGCCTCTTTGCACACCCCACCACCAGCAGCATTAGCCACCGTGGGCACCACACATGGGGACTCACAAGTGAAGGTTGCTGGGCTGAGCCTCAGCCCACCACGGATCACATCATGACATTGATAAATGAACATCCCAACATAATCAACATACCCCGACAAACACAATATGACACAATCAAACACAGTTTGACTCTGCTGGGGCACGTTTCAGAATGGCAGTGCAAAAGCTTGTCAGAAGGGTAGAAGCCATCCTGGCGGTCAAATAGCATATACTTAGACAAAGTCAAGAAAAGTCAAGAAGATTAATCATGATTAATTAAACATGATTGACCTATTTCCAGCAGTGAGAGTACTAGCAAGCAACTTCTTAGCCCTGCCGCAACTGCCCAGCTCTTCTGTCTGGTACTTATTCCCCCCAAAAGGGAAACACACATACAAATTACAGTAAATGTAATTGATTAATTATCAAGAACAAATACAAACTGAAGATATGCATAGAGGCACATTTTTCAAAGTTTGCCCATCGTGTTCAAATTCAAAGTTCAGTTGGCCAATCTGTCTGCCTTGCACTGCGTTGTGCAAACTTCACCAGATTGGATGACGGCCTCGCCCGAGTTGGGGCCCTCCTGGCACGGCCAAGAAGTCTCCACATACGAAGTCAATCGAAAACATACGACCATAATGACCCACTAATGATCGCAATGACTAATCATTACCATGTCAATGACATATCATTACAATGTCAATGACATATCATGACCATATCATGACTATGCAAGACTATGCTATACCGTGGCGACGTTCACCTTTTGTCTTCCGATCGTTTCTGCTACGTGATTCTTTCTCGGATTCTTCTCTCACTCTGAGCAGAACCTCCGGGTATCCGTGTCTCCCTATCCGTTCCTTGCAGCCACTTGCCAAAGCATTCTGCACTGATTTGACAGTGCAAGGGTTGGGCTCGCAGGTGAAGGTCTTCCTTGGTCAGACTAAGGCTTGACTGAATCTCTGTCAAAGAATAGCACAGTGCAACCGTGCAACCCCCTAAAACCTCTACCTGTTACCTCTATAACACATATAACACAAAACACTGCTACTGCCTACATTGTGGCTTCCCTGCAATCCAACCCGCACAAACAATAGCATCATGCCACACGATCTTTCCATACGATCTTTCAAACGGTCTTCGGATGTCTCTAGCAAATGCGAACAAGCAGCGGCTCGAATTGACCATCCTCGTTGCACTTCAGAGCAGCAACTGAAGGTGAATAGCCTGAAGCGCAAGTCCAGAACACCAGAGAATGTGACTGATATCAAGACTCGAGATGTATGATTCCGTTGGGGGTACGAATGCTATCCAGATATCCATGCGCTGGTGAAAGTTACCTCACCCTCGGAAGGTCTGTCTTTCCAGGACACCACAACTCAACCACATAAATTGCTGTTGTTCTGTCTATATGGATGTGTTGTATTGTGTTGTATTGTGTTGCATTGTGTTGTGAAGTAGCGTGATGTATCCCGTGCGTCATGGCATCATGGCATCACCGCTGGGTCAAGGCATGGCACCTGCGTAGCATCGAGTCTTGCACTCCTGTCCAGGTCTGGTCCGAAACGTTGCGCAAGTCCCATCCGTGGCGCCCTTGAAGACTTCTGGCTCCTCACGACACGCAGACACACACACACAAGTGCAAGATAGTGTAAAATAATTGCAAGAAACTGCGAAAAGTTGGCACACAGCACAAACCCTACAGGAATCTACAGGACAAAGTTTAACAGTTGAACATATAGTTTAACTCCGAGCAGGAATCAGATGGACCCCAGGTACCGCATCGCACCGTTCCGAGGCCATGACGAAGCATTGCTTCTCACCCAAGCTCTCAGGTGGATTTTGAACCCCGCACAACTTGCCATTGCCGCAGGTCTTGTCATCTTTCATGTGGCACTCATAGCCTTGGAGTCACTCGGAGTCACTCGGAGTCACTCGGAGTCACTCGGAGTCACTCATTTCGTATGTGCACATATATCACATCTCATTTCATCTCATTTCATCATATCTATATCATATCTCTACGCGCCTCGTTTTGAAAGGGGCTCATAGCAACGCGGCAACTAACGCAGTACACCAGTAGGAAGGTGGGAACACAGCGAAACCTGCCAAGTCGCCCAGGCCATTGTTGAGGTAGTCCTTGTCAGCTACCTTTCGGTGCAGTGGACGAGTGGACAATAGTGGACAACTAAAACCAAAGAATGACAGCCCTTCCAATGTATTGCCATTGCGGAATGATATTGGCTCATGTGAATTTGGCACAGTAGGACACTGTAGTCTTGCACAAAGCTGTGAGTCCATTTGGGTTGCAAAACCAAGTCACATAGTGACCGTTGCAGCTGTCTTGGGACAGGTCGCTGCAAACAGGGACTCCCTCGGATCCGTCGCTCTTCTCCTGCAGAATTCAGATATAACAGTGATATAACATGATATCACGGGCGTGGGTAGTCAATGCTAGTCATAATTAGATGCGGATAATAATTTCATATATATATATATGTAATCATATATGATATTATCATATATTATCTAATGTCAATATCAACTGCTTCAAGTTTTGGTGATGGCGATAGGCCCGCTCCTCCATGAAGGTACCAGTGCAACGAAGCAAGCAATCATCCTTAGACGAATCGCACAAAAGGCCACGGCCCAAGCACTGCTAGGCACTAGCAGGATCCTGCCAATCGGCCTGCGCCGTGAGTACGCGCATCACATGACGAAAATAGTAATATGTGCAAATATATAATATATGGTTACATTAGTCATTAGTCGTATAGTACAATATTCCAATGTCACGTGCAGGAAACATATCTGAATTCCATACTATAAGAAGCTGTCTTTTACAGAAAAGCTGAAAAGCTCGCTTGCCCTGGCATCTTTGCAAACCAGATGCCCCTGACTCGCACTTTGCAGGATTCTCTTTGTTCGGCAGGCAGATCTGCATCGTGACAAACCATTGGAGTTCTTCACAGAAAATCAACATGTCACCGCAGAATGACAGATCTCACTTATAAATCTTCTGAAGTGAGAGGTTGTGATTGATTGCGAACGGTTGCGATTGGTTGCAATTATGTACATGATATATCATGATATCAATTGATGTCAAGCGCCTTGAAGCTACCCTGGCAATCATGATGACCACCAGTGCTGCAGTTCTGAAGTTGCGAGCATGGGTCCACACCTTAGTTTGGCAAGGGAAACTCGCAGCCTCTCCTACATGAAAGATGGAGAAAAAAGACAAATAAAAAACGAAGGTTTAAACTTTAAACCCCTTAGATAAAAACATGTGGATCATCCCAGATCATCTTAGATCACTCCAAATCCTTTGTCCAGCATCATGATGTCACTGTCACATCCTATCCAAATATCGATAAACTATATGATAAACTTCTTGCCATGCTGCTTGAATCTGCAGGGCACCTTGGTGGAGCAGTGGGTGATCCAACGTCATGACATTTCAGGGGTCGTATCTCAGATCTCAGGGTCCTATCTGATATTATTTGATAGTCTATCTATCCATCCAAGAAGTTTTTCCCTGCAAAACCGTGGCTCATATGCTCATCTCATCTCATCTTGGTTCATCTTCTATCCTTCAAAAATCAGCGAATAAAGACCGGGGTGAGAGGTTGGGAAGTTGCTTTTTTAATGTTGTTTTAGGTTTTTGCAGGATGTTCCAGATTTATGGATTTGAAACCTGGAATTTTAGATTCAAGATTTCGCAACAAGTGAAAACAGAGGGAAGAAGATGGTGGAAAAAGCTTCCAGTATGCCACTCAGTAAATGCCAGCGGTGCCCAGAATGCAGCACGGCAAGCATTCTGGGTTGCAGAGAACTAGCGTTGCATGTCTCAAAGCCAACTGATCCAATGTTCCATGTCTTTTCGCACCTGAAAAGGGAAAGCCACGAAGAAGGCTTAAGAAACCCTTTCTATCCGTATGTTGCCCGGAGGTTAAAGGCTCCAGGACTTCTCAGTTTCACGGTGTTTGAAGACTACAGGGTTCCAAGATGTTCCAAATATCCAAGCTTCAAACTTGCAAGTGCAAGTGTTTCAGGATTGCGCTTCAAGAGTTTGCAAGGTTCTACTTCTTGTGTCTAGAAGCTTCTGGGCATCCAATCTTTCACCATTGGACCATTGTCCAAGGTTCCAGGGCTACAAGACAACTAGGCTCGGGGCCTGTTAGTTTTTCATGGAAACACATCGTCCATCATCATCCTCCAATGATGCTGAGAAATTGCTGGTGATTTTCACAGTGAAAAGAACTCAGTTCATGTGAAAACCTTTGTCTGCGTCCAAGCCAACATAGGCTGAGAATTGGGAGAGTGCGAGATCCAGTGCATCGAATACCCGGGAATACCCAGCGTGCTGCAGCATGTGGAACTGAGGCGAGAACTTTAGCCTTAGACACCGCATCTTCTGAGATCTTCTAACAACATACAATCTCAATCAATCTCAATCAAAGGTCCACAAAACAATGACTTCGCAGCAAATTGCACCCTTGGTCCATGTCAAGTGTCCACCTATGGTGTTTGCAAATCCCCTCGGTTCCTCTTTAAAGTTCAGGTTTGTCGCTTGGATTCTTCGCTGTTGCATTGAATTATATTGAATTCATGTCAAATTCATGTCGTTTCATGTCGTTTCCCTTCATCCACTGGTCACACATTGCTCGGTTCATTGTTGGCAAGGATGGCCGACAGATCTCAGCCCAGTTGCTGACTGCCATCACAGGTGGCTGGTCCGGTAGGATACTGTGGCAAATACCGCGATCCGGCTCTTGAACGCCTGCAGAAAAGATCAGAAAAGCCCGAAAGCCGCGGATCAGTTTATATAGATTGGCTGGTCAAATGTGTCCTACTACAAATGAGTCAGCGCATGCAAGAATCTCTGCCGCCGAGACACTTAGTACTGAGTTTCCCAGCTTCCTCAGAAAACTTTGTGAGTGACTGCTGCATGGAACCGTTTCATTCCTGATCCTTCACATTGCCACTATGTGAATATCGACCCTATTTGCAAGCAAGCCTCTGCGAGCAAAGAGGCCACGCCCTCAAGACATTGCAAGTTGAAGCAAGATCACGCAGCATAACAATTTGCAGCACACTTTTGAGGCCAGTCATGTTATGTTCCAGAATTGCAGAAAGATTTGAAACGCAAATGCAATAATGACATATATCTGACATATTATGGTGCCATTTGGTGCCATCATGTGCCATAGGAATGATATGCCGCTGGTAGCGATTTCGATTTGTCACCAAGGCTCGGCAGAATCTTCAAACCGGTCATGATCCAGCTTTACTTCCTGCAAGGACCACCCCGATGGCCGTTAGGGCGGTCAGGGTTTCAATTCCAAACATGTCCAAACATGCCCAAACTATCTTGCGAGCCTTGCAAGTCTTGCAAGTAGACTTGAATCATGTAAAGCATGTTGGACGACGTCTTTGCTCTGAGAAATTGCACCTCTAACCATCTCTAACCTTACTTTTCGAATCTTTTACTCACTTTGAATCTTCCCCTCATGCACTTGGTGTATTGCAGCACTATGCATCTGTGTGCCTTGCTTGGATACAGTTCCATCTAAATCGAAGGCTTTGAGATGGGCTGAGAACTAGGAGCGAAACATGTTGCCAATCATGCTCACAGCATTCATATGGTATACATAGTCTGATTCTGTGTACGGTATACCGATGTATACCAATGTACACCGATGTATACCGATGTATACCGGTACACTTCATACAGCATACCTTTACGATCTTCTACACATTTCTACACGCCACATATAGCTGTGCTAACCCTGGCCTTTCGTAGGAGCTTGTGTCTTTTGACATGGGTGGAGCCCTCAGAATTCACCTGACAGAGACGTAACTGCTGAGATCTGCTGTCACGGAAGATATGGTTGAGAAAGAGTTGAGAACGCCTGAAAGATCCTGAAAGTGAAATATGGCAAGGTGGCAAGGTATTTCCTTGTGACAAGGCAGCCCAGTTGCCTGAGCAGTCACCCCAACTATGGTGGCATCCTTGTGGCCATAGAGGGTTGATGCCCCACAAAGGGGTAACAGAAGCACGCTGCCTGCGAAGGTCACAGTCACAAATGGTCAGAATATATGTCAGAATATGTCAGAATATGATAATATCCTGATAGCTTTTCCCGTCAATTGCCGCTACTTCTCTGCCGAGCCATGCCGAGCCTAGCAACATGGCAGCTGGAATTGGCATAGCATGGAAATTTGTGGATGTCACAGTAGACACTGATACTAACGGGCATTCGCGTTGATTGCCCGCGGGTCTGAGCCAATCATTGAAGCGGAGTCCTTCATCCATCCATCATCAACACGTCGGTTAGTCAGTCGGATTCATCTCAGTGCAATTGTCATGGTGATCAGTTTCAACCTACTTTATCTGACTCTAAATACTCTAATCTTGAAGTTTTCTTTTCACCCAACAATTTCTGGAGATGTGAAGCCTGCAAAGCAAAGAAGATAAAGAAGTGAACAGCTCAAGCTTTCATCAAAGCCTCGTGAAGAGTCTGTGCTGTTCCGAAGTTCCAGTCTCAGCTGACTACTTGGAATATCTCTGGTCATCTCCAGGCATGTCCTAAGCAACAGGCAACAGATGGCAACAGACTTCGTTCTGCAAATAAATGCAAATAATAGGTTTTTTGCCAGGCAGAAAGTCCAACAAAGTCAGAGCATCAATAGTATCAAGCATAGTAAGGCAGTAACTAAATGATACAGTACGATACAGTGATAAATGTAAATTACTATAAGCAAATCAAAATGTTTTGAAGCTCTCGCTGCCATACCAAAGTTGCATGGGGTGCCTATATCTTGCTCTCGCAGGCTCTTAGGGTCCAGCTATATTTGTGCCTGCTTCCGCCGCCTGGTGACCGCGCCAGTCGCAGCTGTCGCAGCTGTCAGGACCCCGAAGCCAATCCGAATCCAATCCAAAAAGGTTTCTCAATGAGTTTAACAAAAGGTTTCAAACGCAATCGCCTTGTCGTTTCGAATCGCCCACCAGTCGCTCACTACCTGTGGAAAAATGCGGCAGCGTTCTGATGCAGTCATTGCCAAGGCTGCCGCAAACACTGCCAAATCATGCCAAATCTATCCAAATCTAAAGCACTGGGGCACAGACCATGTTCTTGAAACCTAAGTCAAGGGTAGTGCAAGGTGACTCAAGGATGAGTCAAGGGTTCAATGATGTCGCAAAATCAACTTGGATCAACGCACATCGACCACATCTGCTATCTCCATGTCATCATTAAATTCTCTCCTATGAAATGTCAGATATGATATATTATATATACTTTATAATACTACCACATACTATCACATAATATCACTATATCATAGAGTCATCTTGATCTTGTATGGTTTGCCTACTATAAACATCTACAAATATCTATAGATAAATAAAAAATGATTCTGGGCAGAACTCTATATATACTCCTATTCTCTCCTATTGAAGTCTTCAACGGACGGATACATACGGATACGAATAGACTTTGCTGACAGCGCTGAGGCCTCCGCCCATGCGTCCTCTCAGGTCCTCATCCAGCAGCTCGTCGTTGCTGCAAACCTGCATCGAAATTGAATGAAAATCATGGAATTTTAATGATTTTTGAAGAATTTAAAGGAATTTTAAGGTATGGAAAGATATGGAAAGATATGGAAAGATATGGAAAGATATGGAAAGGCAGAAGGGATCGGAAGGGCAAGCGGGTGCAAGCGGCAAAGCATGCCTTTCGAGAATTTCCAGAATGTAGAGAACTGTATAGATATGTTTGGAGAACTTTAGAGCTACTTAAAGATGTTTAGGGCCATTGGATGCCATTGTACGCCGCTGGATGCCGTTGGATGCTGGCTCATGGCTTCAAGATTTGCAGCACCGGGCAAGGAAGCTTTGAGGTTTGAAGGCGCTTGGAACTCAAGTCGGTCGTCCAAGTCAAGCACCTGCTTGCCATCAACAAAGTTGTAGGAACACCTGAGGGCGACGAATCAAAGCGATGGCACTTTTGGATGACCCGGGAAACTAGACAACCTTTCGGGAAATCAAGTGCCAGGACAGAATTGATACATATATATACATATTATATAATCATATATACATATATACATACCGCGTAAATAAACATATACATACCGCGTAAATAAATATATAAAATATATAAATATGTGTTTTTAAAAAAGTGTGTATATATATACATATATATGTGTGTAAATATATAAAGATTATACAAATATTATAATTATATATATATCAAAACACACACAGACCACACAAATGATTACAAATGTATAGTATTGTATAGTAGGGTGATGTAGGGTGTGTGTGTGTGTTTGTGTGCGCATCTAAAGGAAACTGCATCAAGCTCCAAACACCTGACTTGTCCTCAATCAGAAATAAAAAGAAAGAGCACATGAATCATGCAACTACAGCGTCCTGAATAGAGTAATTACAAAACTAGAGCAAGATCAAAAGAACGGAAGAAAGATCAAACAATTGGTGTCACTTCCAAAAAACGGCGGAATCTTGCAGAAACACATACCCCACACACACACACACACTGTGCAGCACACATAGCTGACATGGCGAAACTGTTTTGCTACAGCGCCTCTGGCGCCTTTGGCGCCTTGCCATGGTATGCCATGGTCACCCAACTCACACCCTTCCAGTGATTGCACCCAGTGACTCAAGCAAGTGCCTACAGGATCCTACAGGAGCTGAGTCAAACGAAGCCAAGGAAAGCCATTTTTGTGCAGTGCTTCTGTTTCAGCAACTCTCTGCTGATGCACCAGCACATCTCAGGGTAACCATCTTATGTCCAATCATGTCCAATCATAACTTCAAATAATTAAGCAGGTCTTAGTTCACACTAAATCTGGTGGATCTCAGGAAGGGCAGGCTTGGACTGCTTAAGTCCAGTCACCAGGTGCACAATTATCAAATCAAACATTTGCACACCTGATTCCGGAGTTCGTGCCACCACGGCTTGAAGAACTAGCCCCTCTTCGGGTGATCACGAATCGTGGTTTAATTTTGCGGGCTGCCACTGGCCACCCTGAATTTACGGATTGGCGGTTGCAAGGCATTGTCATTGAAGACCTGGAGTGCACACGCACAACACAACAATCGTGAGGCCAAGGACAAAAAATGCAAGACGATATTCAATAAATACAATTATTAGATGCGTGCTCCATACTGAGGTAAGGCGAATGAAAGCGATGCAAGCAACTGTGGATCACAATAGTTGATTAATGTTGATTAGAAATACAGACGGCTTTGAACTCCAGATTGTTGAGACATGTTAAGACGGGAGGGGTTTCAAATGCATTCAAATGCTATGGTATAGCCTTAGTATGCCTTAGTATGCCTTAGCCATAGTGACTTAGTGTACACTGCATGACCCGGAAGAAGAACCGCGTCAAGTGTTCTCTGTCCGCCTGCAAGCGGTTCAATCCGGTGAAGTTGATGGCGACTCAAGTCCTTGTCAACAAATGTCTTGAAGAATGGAGTTTGTAAAAATGTGCGAAAGATTGCGAAGCTAAATATGTTGCTAAAATCCTTCATATTCTTCATATTCTTCATATTCTTCAATCCATTTCAATCCCATCGTTTTCTTGTCATGTTGAAGGGTCCTGCTGCTCTCGCAAGAGCTCGTGCATGACTGCATCTTCACGCCACTGAGCTTCTTTCAATGCCGCCTTGCAAATCAAGACGTCTAAGACATTGGGCAACAATTTTCATCAATGTTCGATATGTTCGGGTCAGGCCGAACAGTGACGAAAACCCAAAATGATCAAAAATTGGTGGTTCTTTTGTCTGCTCCGTGCTGGCAATCCATGCGGTAAGAAACCCAAAACAAAACACCAATAATGCTCCATGTGCGATAACGATCTCCTTCAAATGCTAGCTATCAACATCCCTCAACGATGGATGAGAGCAACTTTTTCATGGCTTACAAGGGCAAGCGATCAAGCCACGCTCACGCTGGCGCACTGCAATCTTGAAACGATGGGAATGTACACTCGAACTTCAATCTCTACAAAAGACGTCAAGCTCAATTTGGAGCAAATCCAGAAGCCAGAAACGCTCCAACCTCTGAAACCATCTGAAACCTACCTTGTCACATCTTGTCACATCTTGTCACATCTTGTCACATCTTGTCACTACCTCCTCAGTTTCAGGTATGCAAAGGCACCGGCGCAGGCACATGCGCCCACCAGCCCGACCAGAACGCCATTGTACGGATTTGACCCCGTTGAATGCCTTGGCCGAGCCATCGGTGATTCCACATGAACATCTCGCATGCATGAATCTTAGTCACAAGATGTCACAAGATGTATCCATTGAATTCCATTGATACATCTCGATCCACCCTGGCCCCGTCTTGCCGATATCTCCGTCCATCCAACGGATGCTAACATGTTCCCGAAGCGCAAATTCACTACAAGATACTACAAGCGCCATGGCCATACAGCCACCCCAGTGATCTAGGCTTTACATCTAACATCATCTAGCAAATGCATCCACTGAGTCCATGATAAGCCAAGACCTTCACAACAGCATTGCACGATATGGATCTATATAGAACATAGATATCTAAAGAGTGCGAATAATGTTCAAATACCTGTTGTGGAAATAATTCAGTAATATCAAACAAGACTTTGACACACGCTCAACATCAGCCCATTAATTGCCGAGCTGCTTGAAGTTTGTGGGCTTCATGTGACCGATGCCATAACGGGCAGCCCATTCTACTTGCTGGGCTGCAGCTTCAACACCACCACAAGCTTGAGAAGCATTCATTAGCTTCTGAGCTGCTTTTGTGTAGGATGGGTTTCGCATCACCTGCACCAAGACTAATGCATACTAATGCGGCATCGGCATGCATCGGCAAGATTAAGAGACAAGGTGGCACCTATTGCCAGGGTTCACCAAGAACGATGCAGCTTAGCATGCTATAGCATGCTTAGATCATGCTTAGCCGCAAAGCATCCGACCTACAAATCCTACAATCAAAGCCTTTCTGATGCCTTTCAGACTCTCGAAATACTCTCGACCTCTCGCCTTGTTGACTGCTGCGTAGACTGTCTCCTCTGTCATCCAGCTTTCCTGGTAGGGATTGGATTCGCCCTCAGTCCCATTTGGGATCTTCTTGCCAATCAGCTCCGCAACACCATAGTCCTTCATAAGGCGCGCATTGAGGGGCTGGTCGCCGAAGAACGGAATAGCGATGATCGGCTTTCCGGCGGTCAAGGTTTCCTCACAAGATCTTCTAAGATCTTCCAAGGATTGTAGGTTTCCCCGGTGATTTTTCTTCAGATTTCCGGGGATTTTTTTTCAGGCCTTCTGCCCTACTGCAGAAAACACCACCAACCTGCAAGAGGCTGCGCAAAACTTTTCGTCTCGTCTCAACCCATTGTTGGAAAAATCGCCAAAAATGCATGCGCCAGATTAAAGGTTCATTTAGGGTTGATTATGGTTCATTTTCGGTGCGCTTATATCATCTTATATCATGTTTATTCATTTATATAGGCAGGGTTGGTTCAGTAGGTATTGTTTCTGGTGTTTCTTTCGGATTCTTTCGGGTTGGTTTGGGGTTTATTTGGGATTGGTTTGGGGGTTGTTTAGGGTTGGTTGAAACCTTGTTGTATTTAATAGTATTTAATTTTAGGATATTTCAGGGCTTTATTTGTATGACAACTCCCTGTCGGGCTATTTCACCCCACCCACCCTCCATTGCAAGGGTTCTGTTTTCTCGCAGTTGGATGAGGTTTTGGCCCTGACTGTGCCGGCCAAACTTGCATGTCATTTGTGAAATTCTCTTGCAGCAGGCATTATCCTTCTGCTGGATGAGGCGACTTTGGTTCCTCACCTATGTACCCAACTGGTGTGGGCGGGTGGGAAGACAAATCAAAAATGGCCGAGCCACCTCCCAATGCCCTCACTCCTTTGTCTATCACAAACAAGTTTGTTCTAAGATGTTCTAAGACAACTCCATGTCGGGCTACTTCACCCCACCCACCCTCCCTTTGCTTGCTTGCTGGCTGTTGGTTGCTTCCTTGCGTGCTTGCGTGCTTGCTGCCTGGCTGGCTGTCCTCCATTCCTACCTTGCTGGCTGGCTGGCTGACTGTCCCTTGCTTGCCTGCCTGCCTGCCTGCCTGCCTGCTTGCTTGCTTGCTTGCTTGCTTGCTTGACCCTTCAAAACTTAATTCTGAAAAAAAACTGGGAAAACTGAGGGGAGGAAAAAAAAAAGAAAAAAATACCATAGCCACGTTGAAATGTGCTGCCGCTGCTGCTGCCATTCTGCAAGATACAACTTTTGTTGTTGACGTACCACGCAGCAAACTCTAGCAATCAGAAACCCAAAACCCAAGAAACAGAATTAGAGTGACTAGAATCGGTAAGGGAAAAATCATGAAAAAATAAGATAAGAGTGGAAGGCGGTGGAAGGGAAAGGAAAATAGGTGCGGTGCAAGCAGTGCAAGCCATGATTCCAAGGTGCCACCCCAACCACAGTGCGTAATGACCGCCTTGACAGCAGGATCCTGAAGCAACTCAGCCTGAGGAGTCCACTTGCTGATGAAGAAGTCCGGATCGTCCTGCGGCCCAGCCCATCCCAGCCCCAAGAAAATCCTCCCGCGGACTCTCTACGGACTCTCCAGTGAGCTGTCCAGTGAGCCTCACTACCAGTCATTACCTGTCTGGAAAGTGTGACAGACTGACACGACCAGTGTTAGAAGCAACAAGATTAAGCTCATTGATGTAAAAATGAGAAGCCTTAGAGAGCACATCGCAAAGAGTCAGCAACCGGGAAAATGCTGGGGAAAGGAAAGCTTAAACTGAGACCAGAATGCAGATGGAGAAACTAACAATGCGGCCAACCTTGATGGCTACACTGTAGTCATAATTTATGATCCACAATTTAGAGATTGATTACAGTGATTGCAGTTGATCACTTGGAACTGTATCAGGTTTAAACAATATGGAACTGTTATATAACCTCACACATTCTTGAAGCTTTCACGCGCTGTGCTCTCTTGAACCTCCTGTCACGGAAATGTTGTCCAGTTTTCAAAATGATCAAAATGCGTACTACCTAACTTTGGTAGCTAGGGTGGTTCCGCTTTCACATATTCAAGTGATGGCGGATGAAAGATCCAGTCCTTGACAGGCAAGAAGTTCTGTTGCTCCTCCTTTAAACTCCAGACGATTCGGAATTGTGTTTTTTTCAAGCCTTTGTACAGGACACGCACCTGCCAGTCATGAAGTTTGGCGAGGCTTCCCGTAGTCACATAGACAGCGCCATCAGGTGAGGCACGAAGGAACTTGTGCAGATCCACGTGGTCTCTGGCAAGCCGGTCTCGAAGGTCGGTAGCTGGTGGCAAGACTGGGCCAGTCACCACCATATTGGGATAGAGAGGGGAAGTTTGGTCAAGGCCCCAAATTGTCTGCACCAATACAATTGCACCTGCAGGGTGGCTCAGCACCTCATGAGCACCTCACGAGAAACCTTTGGTGTCCTCCTGAGTCATGTTGAAAATGGAAGAGCAAAGTAGGGTCAGATAGAGAAAGAAATAGCAAGAAGGTGCAAGAAGAAGAAGAGTTTGGTTTGTAGCTTGGGGGCCTCTTCCCACGTGGTGGCGCAACTTGGCACCCCAGGTTTTGAAGGACTTGATGTTCATCCATATACCAAAGGTGAAAGTGTTTAGGCGCTGGCGGGCAATGTGCAACCCAAGGAAATTAAAGCCAGTGGAAGTATCCACCATCCCCACAAAAACGCGCAGCATCGACAAAGGGCCCGGAAGGTTAATCAACAAAGGAATGTCCATCTCTTCAGCGATATCAGCTCCAGCAAGAGTAGCGAAGTCTGTCATCACCACATCTGGTCTGCCTCACAATGTGTGGAAAAAGTGATGGGGCTAGATCAGGAACACTCTTCAATCCCAGATTTGCGGTTGTTTTCTCTGTTTCCCTTGTTGGTTTCCCTGACCATGACTAACACATGGTGAAAGAATGCGATGAACTAATATAAATGATCAATAAAGGATACCATTTCAAGGTATAGCCAAAAAATAATACCAAAAAGAGTGCCCTAGCAGTGTTGCAAAGGATGTTGCCAAAAGCTTTGCCAATTGTGCCAAGAGTCTCTTTGAAAATTCGGTCCTCAAAGCTGGTAACATGATCTCCTCCAGGAATAAGAAGGCGAGTCTCCCTGCTTCTTCTGCCCTCTTGCTGATGCCGTCTGCAGTGTTGCCTTGCATATCCAAAGGGACAAACTGTGATCCTGTCTGCTTGATCTTCCTGACGTCAGGCTGCCGATGGCAAATGATGGCAAATGATGGCAATCTAATTTACGGCAAACATTTGAAATATGAATGCAAAAAATTACTCCCTCCGAGATGCCCAAAAAAAACATTCACTGACATGTCAACTGACATATATTGACACATACTGAGACATACCCGTTGACATATTCATTGCAAAACATACTGATGCGTTGACTGCCAAATTGACTGCCAAAATGAGCAACAACATGTCTGACATCAATAATCTGTCACAACTAACATACGTCCTGTGACATATATTTACTTTGTGGAAACACATTCTGTTATCTACATATTGACTGGCATCTGATTTGAATGTGTTCTGTGGTATTGTTTCTTGATTGATGTTTGTGTTGACATGTGTTGTGACATAGTGACTGCCACGTGTTTTGACATTGACATTGACCGAGAATTATACTGATATAGTCCTTGACATAGAGGCTCACATGTATTTTGCCATATGTATCCTTGGCTAACAGCTGTACTGTCATGTGTTCCGAGATATATCAGTGATATTCAGATGATATGTCTGAATATACGTAATTATACGTGCTAGAAGATATATTCAGATATTTCATCTGGCATAGTCAAGGTCCAGCGTTGGTCACCGGAGTACAGAAGCGAGTATTGGATAATGAGGACCGAGGAGGGAGGAGGAAGACATCTGGCATCTGGCATAAAGGCTACAGACATCTAAGATCATCTAGATGTTTAGGATGTGACAATGAGGATGTGCGATCATATGAGATGATGTGAGGAGATTGTTCCAGGCAGACGTTCTTGGAGCATCTTCCCTACAGCAATAAAACCAGGCAAACCATATCAACAGGTGTGAATCTGGATGAATCTGGTATATAAGTCCGAGCAACTTTTCAAACTCATCTTTGGCATACTCGGCCGTGTAAACCTTTACTCCGTGCCCGCGTTTGCAAAGTTCAGTGCAAATGTTGAGGACAGGAAGCATATGCCCGGAGTGCGCCGTGCAAACTACCGCGATAGAAAGCGTGTCCTTCTTCGCGGCTGGCAGACTATCTACATGCCAAGAGTAATCTGAATCGTGCACTCCCCATGACCTCAGATCGAAAGGATTTGAAAGAAAATGACAGTCAAACGATGTCAAACGTCTGGCCTTTGCACCCCGAGCCACTCAACAGACTCCCTTATTGGTTGTTTTTTTCCTATAGATATCAAATAGTTTTTAATATGCGTGACTAACATGATCTTTTAAGACGATCTTATGTCAAGTGTGCGTTTCTCCTTAGATGATCTCATGCTCAAATGGTTTATCTTGAGATTATTATCTTGTGCTAAAATGTTATGAAATTGTCTCATCCTCAACTGATCATGTATTATATTCCAAGAGCTTCATTTTCGTGATTCCGAAAAACGAGCGCAAAGCCATACAAATACATGTACATATCACTCCCCCTTGCCTTTAATGTTTTGATTTTTTTTCCTCAAACTCCTGTCAGCTCATCGTGGTTTTTATGTATACGTGGCTAAGACGAACCATACCATCCAGACCTCATAAGGATGGTATAGGATGGTGTAAGGACAGTAAGGACACATGGTCTTCCCATTGGCAGCAATAAGTTAAGCTGTCTCTCGTCATTTATCCGAGTGGCGGCTGCTTGGGCGGAAGCCCTGCCATTTTACTCTGGATGTCTGAGCCGAAACAAGCTCTCTCCGGCACATCTTCAGCACATCTTCAGCATTGGCATGATATCGCTGTTGTTTTTCTAGAGCAATTCTACTGATTCTACTGTAGTCCGAAACTCCGCATTGAGTTTGAATTTTCGAGCTTCTGTTTTGCAAACGTGCGCCCAGTGGCTGGACAAAGATATCCTCTTTTTTCAGGCAATTGGCAATGGCAGCCAGTAGTTTTTTGCGATCAATGAAGGAAACGTGGCGTGACGTGATCGGATGTGATGATGTGACTGAAAGGTTAAGATTACTGAATTATTACTGCACATAAAATGAGAAAGAAAAGGTGTTCAGTGTTGGGCCATGTTGTGCGCTGCACTGCGTCGCGCCTGCTGCTTCATGGCACGTTGTTGTGCTTCCTCGCACAGTCGTCGCGAAGCTGCCAGCAAATGACAGCGCCTGCGAGAACATCCAAAGTGCGGCAAGTGACAGGTCTGAGACAGGTTTGACAAGTCCGTCCCAAAAGCTCTGACAAGTAATTAATTCATGATATGTCATGATATTTCATGATATTTCATGATATTTCATGACATTTCATGATATTTCATGATATTTCATGATATTTCATGATAATGAGAATAATTAATGAGAATAATTAATGAGAAAGATGAGAAAGCCAGAGCGCTGCGAGCAGAAATGAAACCCATTCCGTTGAGAGTGTGTCAACCGAGGATCTGCTGTAATATGCTGCACAGGAATTTCAAGGTGGATTACATAATCACTTGGCTAGAAGAAGTTATAATTATTTAGTTATAACTGTTGTACTGTAATTCATCTGTTGTCATCATTCCTGCTTCTATCTGCTTCTGCTTCACTCTCTTGGTCAATGTTCATTCCTGTAATGCCAACCGCCATCAAAAAACCCGGCTCTGGCGGCATCTCTCTAGGTTTCTGGCGACAGAAGCGTTGGTTCATTCTTCAACTCTTCTTGCGATTGGGCCGCCAGACCTTCCCGAAAAATCCCAGGGTGAGAGAATGGTACGACAATCCCAGAATTAAATTATATTGAATTGGTAGCCTGCAAAAAAGGATCCAAATGGGTCAGAGTCAAGTGTGATCAATTCCAAACCCCAAATTTGGATCACATTGAGACCACGCAGCAATCGTATACCAATCCTACATCAATCCTTTCAGCCAAGGAACGCTTCGAGACCTTCGGCATTTCACCTGGATCTGTCCTGGAAGCTAATCTGAATCCAGAGTCGGAAAGGAGTTCGCAGTGTGACAGGACTTGACTTTGAGTAAAATAATGATCATATAAATCATATAAAGCACATATAAAGCATATATAAAGCACATATATATATATATACATATAAATATATTGTTACATATTGTTATCTACTATGCTACAATATCATTTTTGTATCAAATTATACTAAATTCATATACTATGCCAATATTCCAATGATCATGATTTCCAATGACTATCCCCGTGCTCCTTTGTTGTCTTTATTCGTTCGTGGTACTCAGGCACGGCAAAATGACAGGAAAAGATGGCAGGGCATGGCAGGGCGCAACATCGGCCTCTCCACCACAATCGGTTCTGTTGGCAAGTGCTCCACCGGGACACGAGAAGGTTTGAAAACAACCTGCACATCGACGGATAAAGGAAACACTCATCAATTCAAGCACACAGACAGCATTACTAGTGGGGAAGTTGACAATGTTGACATTGGAGTGCAGACATTAGAATCATTAGATATATATTCATATGATTTTATATGCATATGATATGCATGTGATATCATTAGATCATGAGTCTCCAGATGTCTCCAGGGCAGGAAGTTTTTGCAGGTTGTGTATGGTTTTGTGGCTCGAGCGGCTCGAATGTTTCCGGTGCAGGCCTCGGTCTGGGAAAACCGGTCCGCTTTTAAAGCGCACGAGACCGTAGCACCGTAGCACCGTAGCACCGTAGCACCGTAGCACCGTACTTAGAGCTCATTTTGGATATTTTGGACGAAAACGGATGAAACATGTGCAACCGGTGCGAAATGCATCGGAACTGCTGCTTGAAGGATAATTTGTATTAATTTGTGAGATGTTGCGACTCTCACACTATGCGGGAATGCAACTTGAGGTCGCTAAACAATTGCAAAGGCTGCGAGAATAAAATCGGTCACAGAGAAGGTAGCTCAGAAAAGAAGTGGTCCACAGAAGACGTTGCTCAGAGAAGAAGTACCTGACAGACGAAGTATATGGCTCGGACAATATGTAGCTGAGAGAAGAGATTGCTCAGAGAAACAGATAGCTCAGTCAAGAAGTAGCTGAGAAGAGAGGTATATAAATCAGAGAAGAAATAGGTCAGAGAAGAGTCGGCTCAGAGAAGAAGCATTTCAGAGAAGGCACCTTTCAGAAGCAGCTCAAATAATAAGCAGCTGAGAGGAAACTGGGCTCAAAGCACTGGCAGAGTTGGTCATTCTGTGATTCAATCATTTCTTTTGATTCCTTTTGCAGATCCTTTTGCCATCAACTCATTCATTCAGAGCCAGTCAGGGCCAGTCATTTGGTCCCGAGTCAAAATTGTGTATGGAACGTTCCGCGGTGTTCCGGACGTATGGAACGAAGGGGCTTCGTAACTGGTCTTGTCCCGGACCTTTGGAGTGTGATGAAATATAGGCTATACATAAATAAATAAATGTATATATATATACACATTATATGTAACATATATAATATTATACATCTCAAGGATATGCACGTTGAAGCTACTCCTCATCTGCACGATATCCTTGTTGTACACCTGTTCAACGCAGGTTTGCCTTGCATGGCTAGTGCTCGTGCACTAGATACGACACGACCGGTAGCCAGTGTCACCCACTGGCTACCATGTGAAGCTGTCGACTCAGCTTCAGACCTGTCACGCAGGTCCCACCTCCTACTCTTAAAACTCAGAGGTCCCTATGGGGCAGATTGTGTCCCTGCATAGCAAGACTCTACCCTCCCATAACCCACGCGCAAAGGATGGCTTACGAGCAGTCTATGTGAGAACCTGCCATGTGTTCACCAGTGGGTCAGGGGTGGTACATGGGTGGTCCAGGTCTGGAACGGGTATGGAACGGTATGGAACGGGGTCTGGAACGAAACGGCCCACTCCAGCACAGCACTACCACCACGCAGCACATCTTTATCAAAATTCGCAGTTTGGAGCGAGAATAGCGCAGCAAGCAATTCTTAGACTGCCAGCTGGCAGCAGCCAAGCGCATCTCTACAATCAAACACCACGGCTGTGCCACAGCCTGCAGCAACTTTAAGTGGTGCAGGCACAAACCTGCCACAGGTTGAGAGGGAGGGAGGGTTACAAGCAATCCATTCTTAGACTGCCAGCTGGCAGCAGCCAAGCCATCCCTGCTATCCCCACCATCACACAACAAAGTAGGTAGCAGCTGTAAGTGCTGCAGGCACAGACTTGCCAACACAATAACAGGTCTTGGGCATAGTAAACGTATTCTTGCATGTATGCACTCATATATGTGTGTACAAACGTAAAATCAGATTGCACATAATCAAATATATATATATATATTTATTTATATATATAATTGTATATATATAAATAATAATAATATATAATTATATATATAATAACGTATGGATTAGAGGTATGGAACAGAGGTATGGAACAGAGGTATGGAACAAAGGTATGGAACGGATCCTTCAAGGAGGTATGGAACGGGGGTATGGAACGGGGGTATGGAACGGGTGTGGTCCCGGAGCTTGTTCCGGACCTCCTATTTTGACTTGCCCCCATTTGTTTGTTCAGTAAACCATGCAGTGGTGGATTCAGTGAAGCACGCGTGGCATTGACAAGACTTTCCTATAGACCCTTCATTTCTTGTAGCCACTGAATAGTATCGAACTTCCGCCCCGGAGCGGCCGAGTACTGGTACAAAACAAATGCAGCAAAGCACATGACGCCAACGCCAACACACGTTCAGCTCTGTGAAGCAGGTGCTATCAGGTGCTACCAGCTGCTCATGCACATCCATAGCAACCACATGGCAGAGTACGTGCCTCTTCCGGTAGCAGCGTCCCAGCGTTTCTGGTAACCAGTATGGGGCACTCCTGTCATCAGAAACCCTTCCAGTAAGCGGTGATCTCGAATGCCACAGGGATCTGCACAAGTCTACAAAGTACCCTTGAAATCCACATGTTTTCCAGCTTTGACATTCCCTGACATGTCTTGTCTTGACTCTTGACATCTCTCAAGGCTGCCTTTCTGCTTTCAATCTTTTTCCGGAATGCCTGAGCTTTGTGCATGTGAGATGCTGTCGGCACCATTCAGCACCCACGGGTTCAGAGACCTTTCAAAAGCATATCGGCTATGCTGTACAGGGCCTGCACACTGTGAAGCTGACTCTGCAGTCTCCAAAGTGGTTAGCAATAAACAAACGTATACTGTATATTGACTTTTTTTGGCTTGGCTTAGCTGTGATTGAAACAAGCGCAACGAGCTTTGATGAGTTAGCGTCAGGCGCAAAGCAGGCACCGAATTCAAGAGAAGACAGACCCATCTGTGAAAAGCCAGGGTCCGTACAAATAACACTCTTTGAGCAATAATGTCAGTTCTTTTTTGGTTTGACAACTGGCAGCAACAAGGAAGTTTACATATCAAAATGCAAACACAGGAGACAGTGAGGCAAGTACAACGTGATAGATATTTGATGATATTTGCGGTATTTGTACAACTGTTGCAATATGTTGCAATATGTTGCAATCATTGAAGACCAACTCCTGAAACAACGAGTCGCGCACAAAGCGAAGTACGGTGATCGCGCCATGTTCCCGAAACTTTCATCTCGGTTCATCTCGGTTCCCCTCGGGCCACTCCCTAGGGTTCAGCTCACACAGCCACCGCACGCCTCGTTATAACGCTTGCCTGGACACAAGGCGCAGGCTGAAGTGGGGCTGAAGTGGGGCTGAAGGATCTGAAGGCCGGCTGTAGTTCGCTTAGTTAATCAAAGATCATCAAAGATCACTCCGAATCAGCCAATTGCTACGCTGCGACTATACCTCCACAACATGTCACAACATATCCTATATAAAATGCCATAGCCATGCCATCAGCCTACGCGTTCAAAAACCAGTCAAGTCATGTAGGTAGGTTCCCTCATCCTCGTGATGGATTGATGACATCGGAAAGTTCTGGACAAGATGGGACAAGTATGGCACGAACGCATGAAGAAATGTCGCAGCAACTGGCACTGCCACTTGCGGACCAGGTGCAGAAATGATACCCAGCAGCAGCTGCTGCCCCGGTGAGGGTAACACCTGCAGGGTCTCCGTAGGAACAAATTCAGCATCTGGGCCCTACCGTGGGAAACAGATTCAAAAAAGGTTCTAGCATGACCACGATTGCAGATCACCAAACCAAAAGCAATAGAAAACACATCATCGCCCTTGTTACAGTTCTCACACCTCCAAAGAAGCCGCAGCCAGAGAAGACGAGACCTTTCACAAAGAGGGCGCATCCACCAGAAACGCCTCAGCACTCAAGGAAGTTTCTGCAAAAACGAAGAAGGCATTACAAGTCACTGCACATCATTGCACATCACTCCACCCCTCACACCTTTGCCCCCTTGTCTTTCGTCATTGAGACGCAGAGAAGTGCGGCAGTTGGAGCCAAGGTGGATGAAAGCTAGCCGCTAGCAAGTGACAAGGAGAGAAGGCAGGGGGAGTGAAGCACTGAAGGTCCCACATTTTCAGGCTTGTAGGTGCTGGATCAGCTCACCCGGCCATGGTGAGGTAAATTGCAAGAAACATGTTGTATTTTCTCAATTCTCTTTGTGTAGGAATTTATGGAAAATATGGGAAGATGTTGGGCACATTTTCCAAAATGGGGTGCGCATCCCATAAATCATGCTGAGGGGGCTTTGCACGGGCAGTTTCAGAGATTCACCAAACACACACCCACTCAAACACTAAAGGTGGAGTTGTTTTATGTTCCTGATCTACTTGAAAAGATTATTAATTACATATTGTTACATATTATTATTACCAATTACCAAATAAATCCAAATATATATACGTATATATATATATATATTATTGAAAATAAATACTCTCTGAAAGAGCGCGCTTTATATAGTAAAGGCTGTGTTTCGCTGCGAAGATGCATCTGCTACTACAATCAAACCCATTAAAAAGAACTTAGAAGGCATCAGTGGTAATCCCCCAAAATCAAAACGGCAACAATCACGGTGTACAGGATAAAAATAAAACAGATCATTTTAGCCTAGTCATGTCTAGTATGTCTAGTTCTAGTTGCATTTGCTGTGGGTACGGGTGTTGACGCTGAAATCTAGCAGGTCGAGGGAATCAAGCCCCGTACCACCAGAGCAGGCGGGTCGTAACCACGAAGTTTCCCGCGATTGACAGCTCGAGCCAGCAGAAACTAAATGAAACTAATCTTCGAATGTCTTCAAAACATTTCAAGACAATGCTGGTAAGGCATGGTAGAGCACGGTAAAGCGGTGGTAAAATAAAGCGGTGGTAAAGCGTAGTATGGAGTCACGAAGCATGCAAAGCCATTGCCACCAAGATGCTACCAAGGGTGGACATCCAAATGGACACAAGGGTTGCTGGAGGCCTTGGCTCAAATTGAGTTCTGAGAACGTATAGAATTTTGATGAATTTTGATTAATTTTGCATGTAGTACATAGAATGTTCATCATCGCAATACAAATGATGAGATGCAATGATGACTGTAATCACGGTTACGTGATGCTGTAGCTGCATCTCGCAAAGCTCGGATGCATACAGGAAACACACAGCCCACGGCTGCGCAAATGGACAGCCACAAGTGATGGCAACAGCCGCCGCAGCAATCCGCACAACAATCCTCCCATTTTTCCCCATGTTTTCTTCAATTTTCCGATCGAAAAATATGTTGAAATCAAACCGTCTGGAACTTCACCGCTTTGGTGGGTTGGAACTGGTACAAGGCATGCTGCCACTGGCTTGGAGGCACGGTCCTGGAAGGAGCAGCAACTCAAGCAACAAGTAGCACCAATGGCACCGATCCTGAATTCCGAAGCGCGGAAAAGCTGCTGAAATGGTCTTGACATACCATACGCGAAATCACACTCAGCTGAGTTAGCGTAGTCAGCTTCAAAAAAGGTGTTGCATCAGTGTTGCTTCCCGGTGCATTCTACTCCACGTGAACGCAAGAAAACTAAAAACCGGAATCATCCGGAATCCGGAATCTCTTAGACTATCACAAGCTATCTGGCCTGTCTAGCCTGAAAGCAAGTTGCGAAATGCAAGCTTGACACTGTGCAACTCAACACCAGTTGTTCCTCAAAACAACTGGTTTCCTTTGACTTAGAAATTGAGGCAAGCTTCAGCATGGCCGAGAGGCACGCACTGGGCACCACATACTTATCGCTATCGAAGTAGATCACTGGGTTCGACTTCAAATGTGTCACACCCTCCGAGACTGCATCCAACTCTGTTTGCCCCAGCGCTGTTTGCCCCGGCTCTGTCTGGGCAATCTCGGGCTGCGATGTCGTGAGACATATCGCAGCTGTTGCTAGCAACATCGCCAGTGTCCCAATAAATTGGCCGATCTTGAACCTGTCACCCCCGTTTCGCGCTGGCGGATGGCGCATTGTGGTTCAGTGGCATATAGCAACATATATGCAAGCTGATGGGGGTAGCTGATCGTAGCTGTCTACTGAGTAGCACACACAAACACACACACACACACACCCGCGCGCGCGCGACACACAACGAAATATAACTTGAGGCCCAAGGGGGGGTGAACGAAAGCTAAGGTTCATATGAGCCTGGAAACATGATAGGATTTTGATGGGATTTGGATATGCTGAATACAGATTGCCTAGAGACCTGGCACGATTTGAGAGCGTGACCATCTGCTTCCAACACCGCCCCAAAATGCCCCAGGAGCTTTGGGGGGGCGGGGTTCCAGATTTTTCACTGTGTTGGACTCAGACCTGCTCCTCCCCTTGCTGAAGCAAGAGTAACTCCAGCAAGCTACCGCTAGCTTTCGTGACAAGCAAATAATATTGCAAATTTCAATCGGTTCCAATGATCCAAGTATGAAATGTATATATATATAATATAATATGATATAATGTGATAAAATATACTATACTATTATAATATAATACAAAAATATATACTATAATATAATATAATCTAATATAATAGTGTAATATAACATACTGCAATATAATAAAATATACTAAGAATAATATACTACAACACTAATAAATGTAATATAATATATTATAATATATAATAATATACTATAATAAAATATTAAATAATATAATGTGATATAGTATAATATAATATTACTGTAATAGAAAATCATATAATATAATAGCATATAATATGATATGATATGATATGATATAATATCACTACTATATGAAAAAGATAACATAATATCATATAATATATGTTAATATAATGTCATAACATATAATATGATACGAAATGATATAATATAATATAACTATAAATAAAGTTAACATCATATAATATACTATGATATGATATGAAATACTACAAAATAATAAAAAATTATATGATATGATATAATATACTATAATATGGCATCATATACTACAATATAATATAATATGATATAATTTAATATGATATTATATAGTCTAATATAACACTACTATAATATAATAGAATATGAAATAGTAAAATATAATATGATATGATATGAAAATATAATATTACTACAATATGTGTAAAAATATATATACAATATACTCTAATATACTATAATATATTAAACTATACTTTGTAATCTAATAAAATAGAATATGATATGATATGATATAATATAATATAAAATAAAATTTTTATAATATAATATAATATAATATTATTACTATAATGTAATATGATATGATAATATAAATAATATACTATAATTTAGTATAACATTATATGATATGATATAATACATACAGACACACATATATATATATATTAGAAATAGATAGACAGATTTCAACGGATTCCACCATGCACAAGCCTTTGCACCGCTCTCTCTCCACAATGCTGCGGCTCGCCAGGCTCACCAGGCTCGCGAAAGGCTTGGTATGGCTCAGTTTCGCTCACCCTTTGTTGCCTCATGGTTGTTTCCCCCGGGGCCCAGCCGAAAACGAAGCTGCGGAAGTTCATCATTGAGAAAACATGTTCTGTGGAAAATCTCCCTGCAAGCAGGAAAAACCAACTTCTGCTATGTCCATCGAGCTGTCGACCCTAGGAAGACATTGCAGCACTCCGACATAGCACACAAGTAAAATCAAAATATATTGAAACGTTCGACCAAAAGCACACAAAAGTGCAGAATGCATCAGAACACTGAGAAGTTTTGCAACTGCTCCTTTGGGGGAAGTGGTACCTCTCTCGGCAGGGTCGTCAGTGTGCTTTGCTCGGACACCTGTACGCTATCCTGCAGGACCAAATGCCAACACATTATGCATTGCTTAGATCTTGCTGAAGCCCCGCGGCAAACAGGTTGGCAAAATTTGGCAAAGACATGTTACATCACATGTTAACTATTTAGGCAATTTTAGACCTAAAGAATCTTGGAGATGGATTCGTGGTGACTGACCTGGTGACCACCCTACAGGATATGCGACAGCAATCCCTTATGGATCCTCATGGGGCCATACTCATACATTCTCATACCCAGCTGATACTCAGCTGATACTCAGCTGTCATACGACCCCAACCTGGCCATACCATGCCATACCTGGACGACTTGCTCGCTATTCGGTGCTGCAATGCATTTCCATTCAGTCTCCTGTGGTTTTTCCAAGTTTGGCCGCTCTGAGCCCGAAGACTTCAACCTGAAAAGCCATAGCGATCCCCGAAGCACTTCGAATAGATCCGAAAACAGAGATTCACTTCTTTCATCTTCTTTCATGTCTTATCTTGTGCGCTCATTTTATCACATGTTCTCTCTCCACCAAGCTTCCAACGAGTCCAAAGCAGGAGAGATGTCTTCCAGCTCAGGCTGCGTTGTCCAAACATCCTCCTGCAAATGACAAGCACCTCCATTGAAATTCTTTTGACCCTATTCTATTTGATACTAAGACATATTAAGACATACTAAGACTTCTTTTCGCAATCCAAGCACATCCAAGCCACGTTTGGACTTGTCGTTATCCATCGATGTGTCCTCCCTGACCCTTTCGATGCCTTCATGGCAGTGGGTGGCAAAGGGCCAGCTCCACAAAGTGTTGATCCTGTAGAGGGCCATGGCCAGGCACGATTTCATCGAATGGTCTGCTGCTCAACCACTGAATACTGATGAAGTTGAAGCATGCACAATTAAGAGCAAGAGACCATGCCAGCAAAGTCCCAGAGATTGCAAAATGTGGTCAAAGGATGTCAAAGAATATTATGCAGTCAAACAGCCAAATGCAATTCCACATATTTCCACATTCCACATGATAAGATTATTGTAAACTTGTCAGGCACTGTTGCTCAGTCTCCTTTCTCTGGAGCATCTGCCTTGGGAACGGTTTGGCTCGCCTCAGATCTGGCAGGAGTCAGAAGTTTCCTCTGCACTGTTCGGCCAAAGATCTGACAACTCCACAGCTCAAGTGCGTCCATGACTCTGCCTTAGCTCGACTCGAACCTCGGTTCTCAATTTTTTCCCGAATGCGTAGCAAGGGTTCCCGTTTCACTCTGGGTGTCTGGGGGCTGAGGGTGTGTTCGCTCGATGTTGCGTTTGTGGTCGCAACCGTTCGCAACCGTCCGCAACCGGTCGCAACCGTTCGCAACCGTTCGCAACCGTTCGCAACCGTTCGCAACCGTCCGCGCGATCCCCGTATGGCCGTGCCTATGGGAAGTTCTGCAGGAGGGGTCCTTTTTGGAGGTTTCAGACGTGTCGTTGCTTCGTTTCGCGTGGCAGGCGTGGCACTTCGTGGCATTCAGACGTGTTCTGGAACGTGTCGAAAGTCGTTTTGCGTGGCAGGCGCAATACTTTTGCGACGTTTTCAGAAGATGTGTTGCAGTTTTCGTGGCAGGCGCAGCACTTTGGACGTGTCCATCGTCATTTTTCGTGGCAGGCGCAGCACTTTAGACGTGTCATGTTGCGTGTTTTTTGCAAATCGCATTGGCAGGGCTGCGTCAAGTGGCGACAAGGTGCAAATTCCGTGGCAGGCGTGGCATTTTGTGCGATGCGTTGAAAATTGACGGAAGCCTCGCACGAAACATCGATTTTGAGGTTGCCAATTTTCACGTTCTAAGGAAAACTCGTAGGAAAACGTCGATTTTGAAGCTACAAAGTGTGAAAATTGGAGGAAGTCTCGCACGAAATGCTCGTTTTGGCGCTCCCACGTGTCGCGTCTCGCGTCTCTGGTTTTCCGGTGGCCTCGCCGTGTCTATGGTGGAAGCTGCAAAACTTCTCCTTTTGTCATGTTGCCAACTGTGAAAATTGGAGGAAGTCTCGTAGGAAAGAGGAAGTCTCGTAGGAAATGCTAGTTTTTCTGCATCCATGTGTCTTGTCTCGAGTTGCTGGTTTTCCTGTGGCGTCGCCGTGTCTATGGGGGAAGTTGGAAAACCTGACCTTTTCGAATGTTTCCGAGGAGGTTGTCATGTGGTTTTGGGTGGCAGACGTGACATTTTCTGACATTCCAACCTGTTTGATGATGTTCACAAAATGTCAAAATTGGAGGAAGTCTCGTAGGAAATGCTGGTTTTTCTGCATCCACGTGTCATGTCGCGAGTCTCTCGTTTTCCTGTGGCGTCGCCGTGTCCATGGGGGAAGCTCCGCACTCCACGCTCTACACTTTACACCCGCACTCACAATTTACACTTTAGACTCCACACTGTACACTTTACACTCCACGCTTTACACTTTGCACTTTACACTCCTCACACCTTATCTGAGACTTTACACTCCACACTCACACTTTACTCTCCACACTTTACACTTTACACTCCTCACTCCACACTCCACACTTTACACTCCACACTTTGCACTCTTCACTGCACACTCCACACTTTACACTCCACACTTTCCATTTCACGCTCCTGACTTTACACTCCGCACTTCACACTCCACGCCTTCCACTCCACGGTGATTTTCGAATGTTCGTGACAGATATTCAAGCAAATGTCGCATGCACGGGAGTGTTGCTGATTCAGGCATGAAGTTTGACAGGGATGTTGTTGCAGACCTTTGTTTGTAGAGGTGTGATTTCGGCTGTGCTCAATTGCAAGAGAACGCTAAGCATTCACAGTTCATGACGGAGGAAGTTTTTAGAGATATTGCAAGATGGTGATTTTCGAATGTTCGTGACAGATATTCAAGCAAATGTCGCATGCACGGGAGTGTTGCTGATTCAGCCATGAAATTTGACAGGGATGTTGTTGCAGATCTTTGTTTGTAGAGGTGTGATTTCGGCTGTGCTCAATTGCAAGAGAACGCTACGCATTCACAGTTCATGACGGAGATTGTTTTTAGATATATTGCAAGATGGCGATTGTCGAATGTTCGTGACAGATATTCAAAAAAATGTCGCATGCGCGGGAGTGTTGCTGATCCAGGCATGAAGTTTGATAGCGGGGGTCTGGGGGCTGAGGGTGTGTTCGCTCGACGTTGCGTTTGTGGTCGCAACCGTTCGCAACCGTCCGCAACCGTTCGCAACCGTTCGCAACCGTTCGCAACCGTCCGCGCGATCCCCGTATGGCCGTGCCTATGGGAAGTTCTGCAGGAGGGGCCCTTTTTGGAGGTTTCAGACGTGTCGTTGCTTCGTTTCGCGTGGCAGGCGTGGCACTTCGTGGCATTCAGACGTGTTCTGGAACGTGTCGAAAGTCGTTTTGCGTGGCAGGCGCAATACTTTTGCGACGTTTTCAGAAGATGTGTTGCAGTTTTCGTGGCAGGCGCAGCACTTTGGACGTGTCCATCGTCATTTTTCGTGGCAGGCGCAGCACTTTAGACGTGTCATGTTGCGTGTTTTTTGCAAATCGCATTGGCAGGGCTGCGTCAAGTGGCGACACGGTGCAAATTCCGTGGCAGGCGTGGCATTTTGTGCGATGCGTTGAAAATTGACGGAAGCCTCGCACGAAACATCGATTTTGAGGTTGCCAATTTTCACGCTCTAAGGAAAACTCGTAGGAAAACGTCGATTTTGAAGCTACAAAGTGTGAAAATTGGAGGAAGTCTCGTACGAAATGCTCGTTTTGGCGCTCCCACGTGTCGCGTCTCGCGTCTCTGGTTTTCCGGTGGCCTCGCCGTGTCTATGGTGGAAGCTGCAAAACTTCTCCTTTTGCCATGTTGCCAACTGTGAAAATTGGAGGAAGTCTCGTAGGAAAGAGGAAGTCTCGTAGGAAATGCTAGTTTTTCTGCATCCATGTGTCTTGTCTCGAGTTGCTGATTTTCCTGTGGCGTCGCCGTGTCTATGGGGGAAGTTGGAAAACCTGACCTTTTCGAATGTTTCCGAGGAGGTTGTCATGTGGTTTTGGGTGGCAGACGTGACATTTTCTGACATTCCAACCTGTTTGATGATGTTCACAAAATGTCAAAATTGGAGGAAGTCTCGTAGGAAATGCTGGTTTGTCTGCATCCACGTGTCATGTCGCGAGTCTCTCGTTTTCCTGTGGCCTCGCCATGTCTATGGGGGAAGCTGCAAAACTTGTCCTTTTGTCATGTTGCCAACTATGAAAATTGGAGGAAGTCTCGTACGAAATGCTGGTTTTTCTGCATCCACGTGTCTTGTCTCGAGTCCCTGGTGTTCCTGTGGCATCGCCGTGTCTATGGGGGAAGCTGGAAAACCTCTCCTATTCGAATGTGTCCAAGCAGGTTGTCATGCCGTTTTGCGTGGCAGGCGTGGCACTTTGTGACATTCCAACCTGTTTGATAATGTGTCAAAAATGTCAAAATTGGAGGAAGTCTCGTACGAAATGCTGGTTTTTCTGCATCCACGTGTCTTGTCTCGAGTCCCTGGTGTTCCTGTGGCATCGCCGTGTCTATGGGGGAAGCTGGAAAACCTCTCCTATTCGAATGTGTCCAAGCAGGTTGTCATGCCGTTTTGCGTGGCAGGCGTGGCACTTTGTGACATTCCAACCTGTTTGATAATGTGTCAAAAATGTCAAAATTGGAGGAAGTCTCGTACGAAATGCTGGTTTTTGGAGGAAGTCTCGCAGGAAATGCTTGTTTTTTTGCACCCACGTGTCTCGTTTCGAGTTTCTGGTTTTCCTGTGGCGTCGCCGTGTCTATGGGGGAAGCTCTGCACTCCACACTCTACACTTTACACTCCACACTTTACACTTTACACTCCTCACCCCACACTCTACACTCCACACTCCCCACTTTACACTCCACACTCTACACTTTCCACTCCACACTCCGCACTCCACACTCCACACTTTACTGTACACTCCACACTCCACACTTTATACTTTACACTCCTCACTCCCCACTCTACACTTTCCACTCCAGACTCCACAGTCTACACTTTACGCTCCACACTCCACACTTTACACTCCACACTCCACACTTTACACTCCTCACTCCACACTCCACACTTTACACTCCCCACTCCACACTCCACACTTTACACTCCACACTTCACACTCCACATTTTCCACTCCACACTCCACACTTTACACTCCACACTCCACACTTTACATTCCTCACTCCACACTTTACACTCCACACTTTACACTCCACACTCCACACTCTACACTTTACACTCCACACTTTACACTCCACACTCCACACTCTACATTTTACACTTTACACTCTGCACTATACACTCTACACTCCACACTTTACACTTTACACTCCACGCTTTCCACTTTACACTCCTCACTCCACACTTTACACTCCACACTTTACACTCCACACTCCACACTCTACACTTTACACTCCACACTCCACACTCTACACTCCAGACTTTACACTCCTCATTCCACACTTTACACTCCACACTTTACACTCCACACTCTACATTTACACTCCACACTTTACACCCCACACTCCACACTCTACACTTTACACTCTACACTTTACACTCTACACTTCACACTCTACAATTTACAAACTCCACACTCCTCACTACACACTCCTCACTACACACTTTACACTCCTCACTTTACACTCCACACTCCTCACTCCACACTTTACACTCCTCACTTTACACTCCACACTCCACACTTTACACTCCTCACTCCACACTCTACGCTCTACACTCCACACTCCACACTCTACACTTTACACTCCATACTCCACACTCTACACTTTACACTCCGCATTCTACACGTTACACACTCTACACTCCCCACTCCACACTTTACACTCCACACTCCTTACTTCACACTCCACACTCTACACTTTCCACTCCACACTGCAGACTGGTAACAAGGGAAACATGTACAAGACTGTTCAAATAAACTATTCCAGAAAGGTATTGTGCGTGACTGCATAACCATGTGTTTTGACATCTGTACCATTAACATACGTGTGAGCATTCGGGTTCGTGGGCTTCATCTTGTTTGAATTCAGCTTTGTGCAGTGCTAGGAGTGTGGCAAGTCCAATCTGCAAGATGGAGGAATCTGTTGTGGCAAAGAAACCGAACAGTGAAAGAAAAGAAAAGAAATGATCTTGATTTGCTGTGAATCTTGATTTAGTATGATTTAGTGACTTAGTGGTGGCTTGAAGCAACTAACTCACTCTGCAAAGTACCCTTTGCGACAAGAAG